TCTACATCAAAAAGTATTTTGGTAACTTCTTGATTATAATATCTGAAAGGGGCCAGTACATTTGAATTAAGATGTGGGCGTTATTTCGGGACAGATGAAACCATAGTTAATGTTGTGAACAAAAGGAATTGCGTGCGGTGTGAAATTATCATACCCATATAAACATCCAAGTTTCTCAGGTCTAGTTGGAGCTCATGAAAATGCATTGTGGAAGTTTGACTGCAATTATACAAATTTTCAGGGAGTACTAAAGTTCCATCTTCAACAACCAGTGTCAAATATAATTCAAAAGGATCAACAGGAGTCTGCATCTATTGGAATTCAACTGTGGTGAATGTGAGATACTGGTTGGTATAAGATTTGGAGAAATGATAAAATACCTTGCTTGCATCAACAGATGAATTCAATAGTTGCTTTGCCTGCTTGGGATCATGCTTGTCAAGGAATTCTTTTAATGTCATAAAGTTGATGAAAATTCCAAAGTAATTTTGTTGTAATATGATAAAATATCTAATGACAAATCCAAACAATCTCAAACTAACTTCTTTGCCCTATCAAATATAGAAAAATGTGGTCACAACATTGTATAAGACTTTTTTCTTTTTAAAAAAAAAAAGATGAAAAGAAATAGATGAGAAAAAATAAATAAATAAATGAACGAATAACAAAACCTTCATTTCCAGGGTCAAAGATTCCAGGTGAGTGGGATCCACTGAACTGTAATATTGGTAAGTTCCATCAAGTTTGAAACTATTGATTTTGCCAAACTCCTTGCTATCATCAGCGAGAAATCCACCAAGAGTTTGAGACATTTGAGGTGACATCAAAAGACTTCCCTTTGTCACCTGGATAAATGAAATTCTTGGTTATTGTTAACAATAAAAATATTGTTATTATTATTAAATCATTGCCAGGGAGAAAGGACAGACCTCTACATCAAAAAGTATTTTGGTAACTTCTTGATTATAATATCTGAAAGGGGCCAGTACATTTGAATTAAGATGTGGTCCTTTGATAATGATGAAAGCTAATAAGAAGGTAGATGTCATGAGATTAAATATCCTGCATGTGAAAAGTCATTCAACCGTCGGCTTGATTTCGTGCAACATTACCATTATCATCAATATCAATTGGGTCATTAATAATATTTTGCTCGTTGACGTAAAGATACAGTTCGAAGTTAGTGAAATGAGGTTTAAATCGGTATTCCATTGGGATGAAATGCAATTGGTCAGGAGATGAACCGGCAGTCCAATCTTTGACCAAATCTTGGAATAATGTAATGTGATCCCTGAGAAGGAATATTTTCGCATCTGTTAGGTAGATGTCGAATTCCCAGCTCCGGATTTTATTCCATTCCAAAGGGGTCGGTAAGTCACACATTATCTGTAAATGATATTGGCGCGATCATGATTTTTAAAATAGTTTAAATTCGGTGTTTCATCGATAGCAAGACATTTAACCAAGACCATAATGTATAGAATCACCCTGGCTTTTTTGGTAGTCAATATTCTCGAAAAATTGACACTGGTTTGCAACTCGACATTTTCCAAATCAATCTCCAGGTGATTGGTATATCCTTTATCCGTGTAGACCATAGGTAAAATCATATTGACGGTGGAATCATTTGATTTATCTTGTTCATCCGGCGTTTTGAATTCCAGCCACCCATGTTGCCTGTTGCTGCCAGGTGACAAATTTTCGTCATCTTCCTCATTCTGATTGAATTTCCAATCCTACAAGTATTAATATATAAATTTCATGTTTGTTATTTGACCTTGAAAGGATTATGCTGAAATAGAATAACAATGGCAACATTTAATAGTGCGCAAAAACCTTTGATGCCTCTCTTAAAGGAATTCTGAGGGTTGTTGTATCATTGAATTGGATATAAATTTTCAATAAGGTATGCAATCTGTCTTGTCCAGGACTAAGTTTTTTGAAGGGCTTTGAATTGCGGTATAATGGTGGAAAGAAGAAATTTTGGAGTAAAGCTCTTTCAATCCGAAAAATTTTTAAAGAGGTGTACGGTCAATGCAATGTGATAATGACCAAGTTGTGATGAGATTTGAATGATCACGCGCCAAAGTTACCTTTGTCTATCTGCCCAGGGCCCATAATCTACTTGGACATTTGTGAATATAAGGTCTATACCCCATTCTGGAGAAAAATCACCGTTTCCTACGTCGATTTCTTCGGTATTTGCTATTGAAATTGCCTCTCGTGGAACCTTGCCTATCGATGAAGGAGCATGTGTTAAAACACAACATTAAGCCGAAATCTCCAAAGTCCAACGAAAATCGTGTGTTACATCACCAGCAACGTCCGCATAATAATTCATGTGTAATAGCGGGCAGGCCAATATTGTTGACACCTTGGCATACTCATCAATAATTTCTGCTTCTTTATCCATGTTTATGTAATCCCTGTGATGCACAATTTTAGAGCAATTAGAGCAGCATAATACAAGTGTTAAACAAAAATAACAACTTTGATAATTACTTTTGCTTAACATCGTCTTCACTATGTTGGACTACTGTATCTCGGTATGCCTTTACATAATCCTGATTTGGCCTCAGATGAATCTTGGGCTCTCTGAATTCTAGATCCAGGACCAATTTGTAGTAATCCAACGTGGATCTCGACTACAATTGGAATAAGAATTTTTCACACGTTAATGATGCCATCAAAATTGCTATCGCCATGAACTTGATGAATATGTCGATACTAACTTTTACTGCTTTGTAGACTCCGCTAGCCAGACTGAATTCGGCGACTAGGACAAATGGTGTTGAAACGCTACCGATTATGATGGCACTTCGTTCCAATTCCAATTGGATTGGTAGTAACTTTCGAAAGAATGAATCGTCGGCGTTGTTCGCTACCTCGGAATTATTCTCGTCAATATTAACTTAAAAACAGATCACAGGTAATATGAGCCCCATTAATTCGATGAGAATAGATGCCTAATCGACCGAACGTTGTTTACCAGTGAATTCGCCAGATTCATTTTGTATGACACTAGAGGAGCTACGTCGATCCGAAGAATCATCGGTGTTATGTACCCGGGATATGATGTTTTTGAGGGCATCGTAAGCAGGAGTACGATTATATATGAACCATTCTCCTCCGTCAAAATGACATATTATCCGACATGGAAGGTCTTCATAATTCAGAATGGTTATCAACCAGTTAACTCGGTGAGATTGATATCGGACATGTCAGAGAATTTTTACCTTCGTTGTTGTCATCATTGTCTTGACCTTGATTCTCTTTGCGGACGGACCACAGCCAATACCGGCAAGTTATGTGTCCCTTCAATATGAAAATTGATTGGTTGATCGATCGATACCTGAAATTTCTGAACAGAATGCTTCCGGCAATTGGAGCGAACTGTATTGATCCTAAAGGGAAATGAAAGATTTTCCAGTGTTGACATTTGCTGCTTCGTATCTCAAATCATCGTGAATTCCACAGCCTACCAATTTCAACATAGGCATTATATTTGTGCCAAGTGTATGCTCTTATTATCCGCGATAGAATGAACGCAACCACTCGATTGAAATAGAATAAAAGTAATAGCACCAAGAATGCGGTGCCTAAACAACAACCTAAAAATATTCTAAAAAGAAAAATGCATAAAATCAACCACTTGATAGTATGATGACGACCATTATTAAGAAATGATTATTACAATTCCTGTTCCATCTTTATGCCAAGTATAGGAAGGAGGTCACCAATAAAGTCGGTTAAGTGAAAATTGCGACTTCCTTGTATGGTATCTCCAAATATAGAATACGATCGTTACACGAATATTATATAAATAATCCGTTACAATTTACCTAATTTGTAATGTACATATGTAATGTGTTTTTTATACTCAGTTTTTTAAGTCTAATAGATTAATTTTTTTTTTTTTTTTTTTAATTTTATTTACGATTTTTCAAAAATCATTGTACCATAATAAAATCTTTTCAATCCACAAATATAAATCACAATCAAAGACAAACGAGTTAATACATATGTTTGTAACCCGTAATGTTATGTCAAATAAAAGCAACCAGTATCAACGTTAACCCATTGTGAATTAATAATAATAATAATAATAATAATAAATAAATAAATAAATAAAAAGTGAACTTATTTTTATTCAATAGTAAAGATCAAATATCAATCTTACTAAACAATTACAAATTTGTATATGATCGATTTGCTTGAATTTCTTGTATCGCCTAAAGATGGAAAAATCATTATGCTCGACATCACCATTGCCATGGCATTTCGAGTGTGGATTTTCCTGTTCGGTGATTTAGGCGGAAAATCGATCACTTGAGATTTTTATTACCAACATTCCACCAGTGTGTTGATGCTGTTTTCGTCAAAAGAAATCCAAAAAAAAAAAAAAATGAATGTGTGTAGGTATATTAAAAAAAAAAAGAAAGAAAATCAAATGTTCGAATAAGAGAAGACGACAAGGGACTAATAATGTATGATGTGGTAACTTAAATTTGGAATATGCATGTGCAAAACCCAAACGACGGCTTTACTTCTCATGTGGGCGACCATTATACACACAACGATCGAACATCGAGAGGAAGTGTCGTTCACATATGTTCATATGTTCCGATAAACTACACTTGAGAGAATTGTGACAATGCAGTTTTAACTTTTTCTCGCACATCCAAATCTTCATCGTTCGTCATGCTTTTAACCATCTCTTCAAAGCCAAGCTGGCGTAATTCCCTGACGCGCCCAGGACCTAGTACATCAAACGAAGTGTATCATATTAGCAAGGATAGTTACCTATTGAGGAGGAAATGAAGAGGAAAACTCACTATTATGTTTATCTTCTGTCCATGCTAAATTTATTAGACACCATACCGCAATGACTCGTATGTCCGGATTCTTATGGCTCATGTAATTTTTGATTTGTGACAGAATATTGGGCCTGCTCATTATGGCCTTTTTGTGATTATCAGAACCAGTTGCAACGTTGTTGATCAAATACAAAATCTAAGAAAAAATCAATACAGAAAGACATTAAATTAAACCTTGTGCTCTTTCTTAGTCGGTGAGATGGAGGCACTCACGGATGCGATAGAGGGTAGAAAAACTCATCTCAATACCTGCTTGATAATTTCCTCATTCCAACAACTCAGTTTACTTTCTATGATATCCATCAACTGGTTTTCTCCCAATTCTTTGAAGACATCCTCGATATCCTATTGATGAGACACGTGTTTACAAAACCGATAACTTTAAATATAAATGAAGGACGTTGATATATGACTTTTCATACATTTGGTCTCGAAGCTAAATTCCTCAATAAGTTCAATGCTTTCTCTTGTATATCAATCTCTTGATCCTCAATTAATCTGATGATTGAACACGATCACAAGTTTTGACCACATTAGATTACGAACAAAGTTCGGTCAACATCACAAAGATTAATTCACTCTACGCCTCGCTTACTTTTCTAATGTCGAATATGTCAGCGCTTTCATCACCGAATCCTTGGCATCCGATTCAACATCATAGACAAAATTTTTTAATGCCCAAATAGCATTGAGTCTTAGTGTATTATCTGACGAGCGGGCTAACTCCGCTAGTTTTTCTATTCCCCCATGTTCAATAATTATCTATTGATTAAATCGAACCAAATGGTAAGGAAGGGTCAAAGAAATGTAAGAGATAAAAAATGTATCGATTTCACGATACCTTTTTCATCGGTGAAAATTCCAACACTATATTGCACACAGTGGCACATGCCACCGTCTGAACATCGGTTGATTCATCTGACAAGAGCTTAACATAACAAAGTATCCTGATTAGCTCAATTGAAATGCATCGAAAAAGAATCACAGGGATTGTTTGCTACCTTAAATAATGGAGTCGCAATTCCAGCGTCTACAAGATTTGTTCTCAATATATTAACGGATCTTGAAAGACTCCGAGTGCATTGGCATGCTGCAGCCCGAACCCCATAGGATCGATGTGACATTGCTTTCACGATATGTGGAACAATTTTTGCATCAACCACCTTATTGCAGAGAAATCAAGACGTCAACATAACTGCAACATCGAACAGTATAAATAACATGCGACGTTCAAAAAATCGAATTATTTAAATTTACCAACTTTCTCCCGTCTTCGGTCAACGAACTTATAGCAGCGAGTGCCATCAGAGCATTCTAATTCACAGACCGAGATAGAAAACATTTAAAAAAAAAGAAATATCTCCTGGCGATTCACAAAAATAGGAAAGCCAATTGACATTACCTCTTTTAGTTTATCGCTATCTCCAAGGGGATCGTAATAAGAATTATCCTGATCACCGACATGAGTTACAAAATCCGCTAATTTTAGGACAGCTCCAGAGTCACAGGCGGCCTTTTGTAGCTCTTCGTTATCGCATATCAAGTATGCTTTGCAAAACATCGACACACACATACACATTATTATTATTTAAAAGTCAATGTTAATCAATCATATACTACTAATGGTGGTTGTAAATGCTTACCCAAGACTTGTGGGGCTTCTTCACGGACCGGTCCTTTTTCATCGAGTAATTTTACTAATGTCGGCAACACTATCAATATGATATCATTAGAATACTCCATGATTGCATTTGCGCGACTTAGGTGCGTTAAACTAATGTAGATAAAAAAAAATTGATGTTTGTAAGATGGCATGTAAAAAATTCGAATAAATAATATGTAAAGAGCGTACCATTTGGCCGATACCAATTGCATGGTCGGCGATTTATCACGGATTAAATTCAACATGATTTTGACCGGACTATCATTTGCCTCGGCTGGATTTCATGATAAACCGATAATTTGAGTATTAATTGATGAAAATGGGAAGGAAAAAAATGGGTGACATACATTTTGTTTCAACAATGGCCTTTCCATATTCGGCATTTTCTCGACACAGATATGCCAGAGCATCCAGGGCGGCTTCTTGAGCTTTGGAAAAGCCACAGACCAATAATTTCACCAAGGCTGGAAAGGCTCCAGCATTTGCTATTTGAATCTGTTGCTCATTGGTTTCACAACAACGTGCAATTATGGTTGCAGCCAACTCGGAAGTATGTATGGTCGCAATTTTTTCGCGATCCGTTTTGGGATTGAGTGAGTCCGGATTAAGAAGGGTGATGAGGTCCCGAAGGTGTGTATCCTTGATAGATATATACATGCATTACATGTGAATATTATTATCCAAAGTCAATTATCAACAAACATGAGATGAACCTGAAATATGTCATTCTTGTCTGCAGTGGGACATTTGTAAATGGCCTTCAAGGCTCGAGCAGCAGCTTCGATTAATCGAGGATCATTTTTTATCGATATGCACCCCAATAAAGGCTTGACAGCATCATGTTTGATCAACTCAGTAACATTGCTCTCACCACCTTGTGAGGGACAAAAGGTTTTTCATGTTAAGTCGTGAGATTAATAGAAAAAGCATAATTTGTTAAGAAGTCGGAGGTCTAACCATATGCAAAACTCCCCAGCACGATCGCAGCTTGTATTTGTACTTGAGGATCTATGGTTTCCTTGTTTTTGAAAAAAGAAACAAGTCTAGTAACGGGGATCCAGGGTGGAAATTAATAAAGTAAACCCTCGAATCGTTCGTGAAACGAATAATAAACTCTCCTACTTTGGAATAACATCGAGGCTAATGTATAGATCCTTCTTTGTTTTATTCCCGATGATGTTGTTTTTTATGAACCTCAGAGCTTTTACACGTATAACAGGATCGGGTGAATCTAGCTCGACTAGAGCTTGAGCATGTTTGTTAGAGTTCATGATCACATAAATGAGAAAAGCTGGTTTTAGGGGTTCTAGAAAAGTCCTGTGACTTTTTTATTGACAACGATGGGCTTTGACGCATATTACTGGCTGATCATGATTTTTTATACGGCAACTGCACTCAACAGTACTCACTACTCTACTCAATACTCTACGTTACGTTCGCACAATCAAAATCACCGTAGTGTTTACATAGTTTCTTGCAAGAATGTCTATTATTTACGGGTTGGTTGCTCGTGGCCCTGTAATCTTGGCAGAGTACACCGGTTCTTCCGGAAACTTTCCTCAAGGTTGAAACTAGGTGTTTCTTTATCGTTACTCTTGAGCGCAAAATGCTAACATTCAATTATTCTGTCCGTCTTCAGTGACTCAAGCAATTTTAGAAAAAATTCCACCGAACAACTCGAAATTAACATATGTCTACGACAGGTAAAGCGAATCTCGTACGGTAAATATATGAAGAGTCGGCGGCAAACTTTTCCTTAAGCTTTTACTTCTCACCCATGACAGATACCTTTTCCACTATATTTGCGAAGATGGAATTACCTACATGTGTATGGCTGACGACTCCTTTGGCCGACGGATTCCGTTTGCCTTTTTGCAAGACATTAAAGAACGGTTCCTAGAACACTATTCAAGAGACAGAGTAGTAACGGCGCTTCCCTACGGAATGAATGAATTTTCCAAAGTTATTGGTAAACAGATGGTATGTCGCAATTAACCAATATATTTATTCGAGGCTCTCGTTCGATCATATTTATAATTGTTGCCTGTTCATTCAGGAATACTTTTCCACCAATCCGGAAGCCGATAGAGTCAAGAAAGTACATGGAGAAATTGAGCAGGTCAAAGATGTCATGGTTCATAACATCGGTAAATGAGGATCATATTGTTAATTGTTTTTTCAATTCGTTTTTTTTTTTTTATTCACCGTTTTCTTCCTCTCCCATATGACAGAGCGTGTGCTAGAGCGTGGAGAAAGGATCGAACTATTGGTAGACAAAACGGATAATCTCACCCAACAGGCATTCGCCTTTAAGAAACGCAGCACTGCTTTGAAGGTACGCTAACGCGTTGTTCACTGTTGCGTAATTCCAATTTACTTACAAAACACACTCTTTAAAATTGAACAGCGATCGATGTGGTGGAAGAATACCAAGTTACTGATCCTTCTAGTATTCGTAATCATCGTAAGTTTCAATATTTTCAAGGTCGTTATCTGTTTTAATGAGATCGAAGTTGAAATCTGATTTCTGTTCGCGTCGAATTTTTATTAGCTCATCTTCTACTTTATCATTTCCTCGGCTTGCGGGTTTCCTAGTAAGTCACTTTCATGCTTCTCTCTTGAATTCCGATGATTGATTTATGAACCCCAAAATTTCCTAATGAACAAACAGATTGGGCGGCCTGCTTTTGATAGAAATTCAATCTGGTGATATTCTGTGTCACCGTCATTCGTTGTTTTAATATTTCCGGTGTATGTTATCTTTACATATTTTTTCATTTACCATTTTCATGCTTGGGTAATATTTCATTACTGACATTTGATTCGCATTTGGATGATTTTTTTCACAATAATATTTTTATTGCATTAAAAAAAAAAAAAACAAAAAAAATCTCAAGGATTAACAGTCGTTCACAGCTTACAAGAAATTTTAATCTGTATAATAAGATTATAATAAAATATGAAATTTTTATGTCTGCAGGTATTTATGTTTCGTTGCCGGATCTTAAAAGTAGTTTTGCACACGGCAACGTTTTTCACATGTGAAACCTTAACTGGACGAAAACGGTATCAGATTATCATACATCATTATGCAGTAATGTTGAATCACTGTTACATTCACCTTCTATTGTAACCCTTTTTAAAAAAAAATTGTCATTACAATATCCATTTTCACCATTATCCTTTTTACCATTTTTATTTATGTATACATGTGGAAATAGTTAATTAAGTTTATTGATTCCATATCCCTGAATATCCATTGGAATTGACTGTGTGTGTATTATCCGGAATGCGAAAGTCCGTAAATGCGAAGAAACCAACCTTCGCTAATAGAAGTTGGTTCTTGTGAAGATTCGTGTACGTCACGCCCCAAAAAACTCGCGAAATTAAAAATTACATAAACAATAAAAATATGTTTACATTTTAATTCCTATAGACAATACTAATGACACAAGCATTTGGTTGAGCAAAGCTCCCCCGATTCAACAACCCATGAGTCACACAAAGAACATCTCCGTGGAAGATGAATTATGAATATTTCAATGTGATCACAAGTTCATCATATGTTTATCCGACCTTCTTGCTTACTAAAGGAAGCGAACTGTTGACATACGTAGTGTGGTACAACTTGCATAGCAATTCATTAATCTCAAACAATTAATTCATCGTAACGGTTTTACATATATTTGGTGATTTTACGACCGTTCCGAAATCATGGGACGTTAAGCTTTAAGTATTCTGACATAAGAAACATATGATACGCTTCCACACCTTCCAATTTGTGCCATCACATTTTTTCCTTATTTCCCGGCGTAAATGATGCATCGGAAAAGGCAACAAAAATACGTGTTGCAAAAATACCGATTTGGAGTTGACGTCACCATCATAAGGATGAAAGGCGCCAGTTGCACATTCGGGTTGCGACAATGCATTCAACCATTTTCTACTACCCCTGAAATAACGTACTGTACATTGCACATGTGTCACTCTCAATAATTAATCATATGACATCAATCCCGATTGTCGATCATTCGCATGTCATGCTTTTCCCATCTCTTATAAAGTTGATCAGCGGATAAGAATTATCGGTTCCTCTTAAATGGATACCGAGGTATGCTAATATCCATCAACCATCTATTGCATATTCGAGTGTGTGCTGTATACATTCCGGATTTTAATGTTTTTCTCGGAAATTTTGCGTAATGTCACCTAGGCTCAGCTAAAAAGACTTCAAGAATTCGAGGCCGCAATTCAAAAACTGAATAGCCTGGTAACTGATTTCTTTGAATTAATCTTCATTTGCTTTTACGTAAAGTCATTAAAAAAATTGCTCACGATCTTAGGTCTCGGAAACAAAAGATTTTCCCTTCTACATACACTCTATTCACATAAATGGCGCAAAAAGGACGCGCAAATCACTTTTTGAATCTGTGTCCTATCCGGCACTCCAAGCTCGAACGCTCGGTTCAATTATCGAAGAAGTTGGAAAGGCCACGGACAAATTTCATCGACTCGATATTTTCCAACATTTGGATGTACTTCTTGATACCAGCAGCGATCCATTGGCGCGACGTGGGGCGATGGACGTGATCTTATCCGTGGAAGAAAAAAGTCGATTCTGGATCAAAACAGGAACCGAGATTGGAAATGATGCCGGTAGCGCAGTAAGTAATGTTTGATGTCTTGGGGAGGCGCAAATTCAAAAGTAGCGTTAAGAACAAGTCAATTTTTATTCCGAATATAGAACATTTCTTTGAATATTCGTAATGTGTTTGGTGGTGCGGAAACTTTGGAAACCTATATGTCTGCCGGTACCCAAACCTCACACGTATTCGAGGTATGATTCACATTCTTGTTTGATGCTGTGGTTTGTCAAATGCCGAAATTTTAACATGTATATTCTATTATAGTTTTGTTTAGCGAAACCAATTAATGGGAATCCTGATTCCAAGATTGATATCACTGCATTCAGTTTGACCAGAAATAATCAAACTTATAGTTCTCACGACGAAATCCTGCGTGGTGTTGCATTGAGATGGAGGGTGTGTCATTTATTTAACCATTAACCAATGTCAATAATCACCTGATTATTTTCCACAAAAGGTGTAAGCGATTTCGCGAAACACTAATTGACTCGGAAAATTGTTTGATTGTTCAAAAGGTACTCTCTCGACTCGGATTTCATGAGCTAAGTTACGGTACAACTTGGAGACAAATTTGCAACATAGATCAAGATGCTTCACTAAGGTGAAGACAACTTACTTCTTTTGTATCATATTGAAACAATAATAACGACCTCTTTGTAACTTTAGCATACGCGATTCGGCCGGTCATTCCTTGAAGTCATCCATTACACATAATTGGGTGCGGGATCGACGTGACGATATTATGCTGCCATCTCGTGGATATTACATGAGACTGTTTCAGGTCATCTATTATTAATATTAATTTCCGTAATGCGAATATTGCAGTGGAATTTCTTCGAATTTTGAATTTTTTAATGGGATCATACGAAAAAAAAAAAAATTAAACAGGAGGTTGCAGGATTGGGCGGTGATATTTTTTTCCTTAAGAATGAGGCGGAAGGACAAATAAATTTCCCACTTGGAAAAGGCTTTGTAAGTTTCGATTGTGGCACCCGTTTCATCGTGCTATTCAGAAAATTCTTTTAACCGTCGGTTCAAATAGATTATCAGTGCATCATTAAGGAACGGATTATTGTATCCGATGAAAATTGGACAGTCGAAAATCAGCGACCGATTTTTCCTCGGGGGTGCTCAGTCAGTGAGGGGGTTCAAGTTAAATGGCATTGGTCCCAGGGAAAAGAGTAATTATACGTCTCGTTGAAATATTATGATTTTGAAAAGATATCAATTTCTAATTTATTATTATTATTATTATTATTTGTATTTGTTCACAATCTAGGGGATTCTCTCGGAGGTGATTTATACTTGGCAGGCGGTCTGAGCCTTTTCACACCTTTACCCAAGTTAAAAAACTATCCGATAAAAGGTCATCTATTTTTAAATGGCGGAAGCTTAATTCAAGTCAATCAATGTGAGTATAACACTAAGGGCATAATGACCGGTGATATAGTTGAAAAGGAAACTCATTCATATTGTATTCTTGGTAAAAAATTTTCTAGCCCGACGACTCGTCGATAATATCCAAAACCTTGCGAGAACGCCTAGCGTGTCCACGGGCATAGGAATTGTTTATCGAAGCAGCATTCTAAGATTTGAAGTGAATTTCTGCTTACCATTGATAACGACAACAACTGACAAGTGGAAAAAAGGGTTACAACTGGGATTAGGATTTAATTTCTGGTGACTTAATAAATATAATATAATACATATACTGATAAACAAACATTAAATTTTGTGCCAAGAAATGGACTCGCAAGTGAAAAAAAAAAAAACAATAAATTATGCGGCCTAATTCTTGATCTTCCCCCTTCCATGATTAGGAGTCCATGGGCCTAAACTGTCATTAGCATAAAAGTCCATTGGATATGTAGACTGCCATTCAGTTATGTCTAACGCGACAGACGCTTCGTACGGAGTAAGCAGTGGCTTTGGAAAAGCGTAACCCCAATCAATAGATAGCCGCGGGCATGCTATTTGAATCCAACTGAAAAAAAAATAAACTAAATTCATAAACAATACTTTCTTTCTTTTTCACGATTTCAAAGAAAAGGAAGATGATGATTACGCGTCAATGTCCTGAAATTGCTTCAATTTGTCTGGAAATATTTCCGAAAGTAGAACTCGAACGTAATCCAATCCGCGAGATTTGATCTTCTCCTCGAGGTACTTTATCGAATGTGAATAATTAACATCCATCTCGTGATTGAATCACCCCTCGTACTTTAGATGCAAACTTAATTACCTCCAATACCTTTGGGCTACCTTGTCTACCCAAAGTTCCCAATATCAAGCCAAATTTTTTTGCCTTTTTGGCCAAGTCGATCGCGTGTTTTCGTAAAGCATGCATATCCACGTGATCGTACCGTTCACGAGTGAATTTTTTTGAGTAGGGGTCGTAACTTTGAAAATTTTCGTTTTTGCACGTTAGTGAAAAGATTATCAATACACAAGTACATCCGTGAAAGAAACCCTTTTGGACATGGGAAAGCAGGATTAATCACCGGAATGCTGGAACATGGGGGTTAGAGATCATTATCGATTCCAGATGGAATCTTCCATCACCGAGATAACTAAAGAGGAGTTCATTGAATAAATTTATTGTCATTTTGGGTGATCGCACCTCCTCGTTGCACTTACATCAAAGCATCCTGATCGCCCAATTTCGGTGAGGTGCATCCCAGAATCTCTCCGGGTGACAACGGTTTGGCTTGGGGAACGTTTAAAGAATAATCGCTCTCCAGGGATTTTTGTGCGGACTTTGGGTGATTGAATAATTAAAGGTTTATTCGCGTGTTGAAATTGATAATTGATTGCTCGGACCTACCTGAATGGAAGAAACAAACTGAATCGTGCCCACGATCGTCAACTTTTTTCCGCACTCGAAATTCATTTTTACCGTGTCCAAAAAATGCTCGATGTCAATCTTGATGTCCACAAATACATACATAGTCTTGATGGTAGTGATGTTTACCGGTACTACATGTTTATCACACGCACAAGTTTGATCGATTAAACTGCCAAAAGACTGGGTAAATTCGAAAAACACCAACCTAAACAACTGTGACCATAATGAACCATGAAATCACATCCCAAAGCAACAGCGGTGAAATCATCCACGCAACACGCTCCATACGTAACATCGCCCATGATGAGCGTCTCAACGTTGCAGTATCTTTGTTATGAAGACACAAGCATATTAGCAATTTGCATTAGATCGTACATTCTTTCTTAGCAGATTCGTTGTATAACCTTTCTAATATGTCGGAAATTGTGCATGCAAACATAAGGAGACCTTCTGGAAATTGTAACGCAACTATTTGATATTACAAGATATTGCGTTGGTTGGGTAACGTGAATTAGCGAAAAAAGAGCGAGAGGAGACAGGGAAAGAAAGAAGAACCTTTCTTTGCGTTAGAACGTTGAATGTGCCATACTGTCTTGTGAATTTCAAAATTGTAATTTGATGGAAGCTGTTATCGAGTGATAAACATGATAAATTGCAAGTGTTATGAATGATTGTGTGTCCCTGTGTTTAAGAGATCGATCGATTCCGAAAAGAAAATGACCTGCTCAATTGCTTTATTCAGCAAAGGATCATTTAGAATCTCTACGGGAACTTGCGTCGCAACCCGATTTGAAGATCTGGACGGTAATTTTGCTATGACAACAATCCAATTAAAATTTTGCTCAAGGTTGTGTTCCAAATGATGACTCGATAATCAAATTTCAAAACCTTTGATAACATCAACACTGTCCTCGATGTTACCGATTTGAACTTGTTCACTATCTATCTTCCTTGCCTCGGCCCTTCCCACAAAACGCTTTCGAGGCTTTTTATTCGTTGATGCACTTTCTTCCGACATCCACTCTTTACTACTGAGTTTGTTCACCTGAAATCTCACATAAATACGTACATCATATCATGCATAATCACACAATCATCCAATCAAAATGGAGGCATGACATTTACCCGAGCCAATGTATCTGAATCCGGAAAAACAAACAAAAAAACTGTTATTGAAATAATTTTTTTTTTCAACAAGGGTCTTTCTGCGAAGAAAAAAGAAAAAGATGACCTTCCTAAAAAGGGTGATAATTATGTTCATATTGGATCTTCTACGCGGGATGCAATTTCAATAAAAAAAAATATTTGCTTCGATCGGATGCGACCATTTCTAAAAATGCGACAGTCACAGAAAATACTTGAATAAAATCATACCAGAATGGCATGGTTATTTTTAAAAAGAAAAAAATGATGCGCGTATTATAAATAATAAATGTGTATTTATTTAAAAAGATAGTGTATATGAAGGGTTTTATTAAAAAAAAATTTTCGGATTATTTGCCGTTCGACGAGAATACGCCGAATATATCATACTGCATTAAAAAAAAACTTTTTTTTGAATTATATAAACTTCATTCGGAAATATTCTCATGCAAAGTTATATTAATCTATTAACATTATTTTTGTTATACAAAAATAAATCCTTACGACATATAGAATGAATTTGGATTCTCGAGGCACAGTAAGCCAATCACCGCTCACGTCGATCATCCTAAAAATTTTTCATTTTCCAGTGTCATTTATGTTAAGCGCAAATCAGCATAGACCAGCACACGAACAACGTCTGGTTACTCCATCATGAGTTACGAGGACACTCACTCATACACGAACGAAAAGCCGCAATCCATGGTTCTAGGACACGAACGTCGTAGTTCTGAAAATGATGGAGGTTTTAGGCCAAGCTTTAAACAAAAGTAAGCAAGCACAACATTTGCATTAGAAACCTTGCTTCGGGAACAGTTCATTTTTCAAAGGAAAAAAAAATTAGGTTCCGCGTGCCGCTAGCGAAGCAGATCATCACCCAGATTCTCAACGAGAGATTGGAGAGAGCCATCTATGACAAAGATCAAGCCCCTCTTTGGGCTCGTGAAATTGCGGAAGAAATTAAATTCAAGTTATTGGGTAAATCGGTTTTTGTCAGGCACGAGTCGCACCATTTTGGTTACGTTGCGTATTAATCCTCGCAAACAATTATTTTTTTAACATCTGAATCGAACACAATAAGACTTGGAACTTAATAAGTATAAATACATCGTTAATGTTACCATATTGGAGAATAAAGGAG